CTGGACATCGAGACCTTCACTATGGACCGAGAGGTGCGCAAGATCAAGCAGAGCCTCGGCATCAAGTTCTCTGAGCTCATCTATAACGGTACAACACACAAAACATAACACAACACAGCTTTTGTGGAAACAGCACAGGGATTATCTGTCTGTCTGTTGTTCTGTCTCTCTTGTTATTCTGTCTGTTTTTCTGTCTGTCTGTCTATTGTCTGTTCTTCTGTTTGCTTTTTCTCTTTGTCTGTTTTTCTATTTCTCTCTCTGTCTATGTCTATTTGATCTGTCTGTTGATGTTCTACTGTCTGTCATCTGTTTTTTCTCTTGTTCTGCCTGTTTGTCCTTTTCTTTTTGTCTGATTGTTTTTCTGTCTTTTTTCTGTTCTTCTATCTGCTGTCTATTTGTTGTCTTCTGTCTGTTGTCTGTCTGTCTGCTTGTCTGTTCTTCTCTCTGTTTGTCTGCTCTTCTGTCTGTTGTCTGTCCTTCTGTACACTGTCTGTTGTTCTGCCTGTTGTCTGTTGTTATGTCTGTTGTTTTGCCTGTTGTCTGTTGTTCTGCCTGTTGTCTGTTGTTCTGCCTGTTGTCTGTTGTTCTGTCTGTCGTTCTGTCTGTAGTGTGTTGTTATGTCTGTTGTTCTGCCTGTTGTCTGTTGTTATATCTGTTGTCTGTTGTTATATCTGTTGTCTGTTGTTATGTCTGTTGTTCTGTCTGTAGTCTGTTGTTAAGTCTGTTGTTTTGTCTGTTGTTATGTCTGTTGTTCTGCCTGTTGTTATGTCTGTTATGTCTGTAGTTCTGCCTGTTGTCTGTTGTTCTGCCTGTTGTCTGTTCTGCCTGTTGTTCTTTCTGTTGTTCTGCCTGTTGTCTGTTCTGCCTGTTGTTCTTTCTGTAGTTCTGCCTGTTGTCTGTTCTGCCTGTTGTTCTTTCTGTTGTTCTGCCTGTTGTCTGTTCTGCCTGTTGTTCTTTCTGTTGTTATGTCTGTAGTTCTGCCTGTTATCTGTTGTTCTGCCTGTTGTTCTGCCTGTTGTCTGTTGTTCTGCCTGTTGTCTGTTGTTCTGTCTGTTGTTCTGTCTGTAGTCTGTTATGTCTGTTGTTCTACCTGTTGTTCTGCCTGTTGTCCGTTGTTCTGTCTGTAGTCTGTTGTTCTGTCTGTTGTTCTGCCTGTTGTCTGTTCTTATGTCTGTAGTTCTGCCTGTTGTTCTGTCTGTTGTTATGTCTGTTGTTCTGTCTGTTATGTCTGTTGTTCTGTCTGTTCTGTCTGTTGTTCTGTCTGTTGTCTGTTGTTCTGTCTGTTGTCTGTTGTTCTGTCTGTTGTTCTGCCTGTTCTGTCTGTTGTTTGTTGTCTGTTGTTCTGTCTGTTGTCTGTTCTGTGTATTTTTCTGCCTGTCCTGTCAGTTGTTCTGTTTGTTGTTTGTTCTGTCTGTTGTCTGCCCTTCTGTTTGTTGTCTGCTGTTCTGCCTGTTTTTCTGTCCTTTTTGTCTGTTCATTTTTGTTTGTCTGTTTATCTATCTGTTCTTTCATTTTGTCCATTGCCTGTTCTTCTGTCTGTTTTTCTCAGTTATTTGTCTGTTGTCTGTTCTTCTGTTTGTCTTTTGTTTTTGTCTGTGTTCATCTGTCTGTTTTTTCTGTTTGTTTGTCTGTTCTTCTGTCTGTATTGTCTGTCTG